GGTCTGGTATTCCCATCTCTTTCAGAATTTTCCAGTTTGTTGTGATCCACGCAGTCAAAGGCTTTGACGTAGTCAGTAAAGCAGAAATAGATGTTTTTTTCTGGAATTTTCTTGCCTTTTCAATGATCCAGCGGATGTTGGTAATTTTATCTCTGGTTCCTCTGCCTTTTCCAAAACCATTTTGAACATCTGAAGTTAATGGTTCACATATTGCTGAAGCCTGGCTTGGAGGATTTTAAGCATTACTTTTCTAGTGTGAGATGGTGTTAAATACGAGATGAATGGGGCCAGAGGGAGAGAGGACGAAGACAAGCTACTGACACTCATTGGGAAGCAGGGCTTATTAGATACAACTTAACTAAAGGCCTCAGTGTAGAGTTCATCCCTAGGGTGGTACCAGCGTATAGGCTTTTCTATATAGTCATGATAGAAGACTTTTATTTTTTTTTACATTTATTTTTATTAGTTGGAGGCTAATTACTTTACAATAATGTAGTGGTTTTTGCCATACATTGACATGAATCAGCCATGAATTTACATGTGTTCCCCATCCTGATCCCCCCTCCCACCTCCCTCTCTACCCAGTCCCTCTGGGTCTTCCCAGTGCACCAGCCCCGAGCACTTGTCTCATGCATCCAACCTGGGCTGGTGATCTGTTTCACCCTTGATAATATACATGTTTCAATGCTGTTCTCTTGAAACATCCCACCCTCGCCTTCTCCCAGAGTCCACAAGTCTGTTCTATACATCTGAGTCTCTTTTTCTGTTTTGCATATAGGGTTATCGTTACCATCTTTCTAAATTCCATATATATGTGTTAGTATACTGTAATGGTCTTTATCTTTCTGGCTTACTTCGCTCTGTATAATGGGCTCCAGTTTCATCCATCTCATTAGAACTGATTCAAATGAATTCTTTTTAATGGCTGAGTAATATTCCATGGTGTATATGTACCACAGCTTCCTTATCCATTCGTCTGCTGATGGACATCTAGGTTGCTTCCATGTCCTGGCTATTATAAACAGTGCTGCGATGAAAAAAATATGGAACGCTTTATGAATTTGTGTGTCATCCTTGCGCAGGGCCCAGGCTGATTTCTCTGTATCATTCCAATTTTAGTATATGTGCTGCCGAAGCAAGCACGATAGGAGACTTTTAAAAGGATCATGATAAGACTCTGCAGTTCATTAATTCGCTGGAGCCACCCTATTTCTTGCACTGCAGGTAAGAATGCAAACATGGCTTACATCACCCCTTGAGTTCCTAAGGGACAGAAGTTCTCCAGAAGGTCATTTCTCTGAATTTTTCTGAAATTATTTACTTAACACATTCTGCTGCCTTCCTGAGTGTTGCCTCTCTTTCCTTTGACCAATAGCTGGAGAAATAAGCCTCTGTCCATGACTTTCAGAAATAAAACAAGAAGGAAAAACATCACAGAATTATCTAAAGCATTGGAGTATCTGGTTTTATTGGCAGATGGGGGAACCTGAGGTGTTTACTTTTGCAACACATATGACATTGGATGAACAGAAATACTGGATTGGCCAAAAAGTTCGTTCAGGTTTTTCTGTACCATCTCACGGAGAAATGCAAATGAAGTTTTTACCCAATTCAAAATTTAATTTGGGGATAAGCATCAGCTGATGAGGGAAGCCTGGCACTTTAAATGTCTTTTAGAAGGTGAGAACAATGGGATATATGAAAGGAAGAGTTAATCTTGAGGATCTCTTAGGGGTGTAGATATGAGTGCAGAATGCTGTGGCCGGATTAATTAAGTTAATTTCCAAAATTCTGCTGTGAACAGTATGGGGTGCAGTTAGTGGGGATTTTTCAGCCAACAGGGGAGCCCTGAGGTCCTGCTGTAAATGTTGGTGAAGGGAGAGTCAAGGCTGAGGATACGGGGTTTCCCTAAATTGGGGACTGGGAAAGTCTTTAAACTTTTGTTACCACCCATCAGGTTGCTCTGCTCATTTTCAGTTCTCTCTCCTCATTTTTCCTTGACAAGTTCTTTTTTTCCCCTTCCTTATCCTCCCATTTTCTTTGGAACTCCTCAGTTTTGGTGTCCTTTATTCCAAAGACTTAATACCGATATTGACATAGGTAAGGGGCTACCGGATTAAAGGATTAAAAAAAATTGTTTGTTTTGGTAATAACTTTATTGAGATATAATTCACATACCATTCAATCTTCCTACTGAAGTGCACAATTCAGTGCTTAAATTAGTATGTTTAGTATATTCAAAGTCATGCAACCATCATCACTGTCTAATTTTAGAACACTTATAATGTGTCATCTTTACTTCTGTTTTATTTCTGTAGTTGCGAAAAGGGATGCAGGATATTAGGCACAGTTACCTATGATAATAGTTATTGAAATAGATTTGTTGTTGTCCCTAAAACACTATTTCCTTTAGCAATTGGTCTTAGAGGAAGGAAGACAAGAAGGAAAGCAAACAGAAGAGTATGTAAGGAAATCAATGACTCGACTGAGGTAGAATTTCTTACAGTGAAGGTTTATAGTTTCTAAAAATCTCAGAAAACCTCTTGGCATGTTCCGAGGAAGGCAACAGTATGATTTGACCTTGGACAGATTACACAATGTATTTTTGTTTGACAACTTAAATCAACATTACATAAGTAATCAGTTTACATAAACACTGATATTCCTTTTCCACATCACTGTCATAAAATACTGTAACATAAAATACTGTAACATGGTGCTCCTCTTTAGCTTCTTTGAGTGCATTTTCACAAATTAAATGATTAAGTTAGTGACTTGTGCATGGTTTTGAGCCATTTGTGCCCTGCAATGCTCTAGTGCAGAGATTCCTGCTCAGATTTTGCATGGAGCAGATGTAAAAGACGAGGCTGCTTTTGACTTAATTTTGAGCAAATGTTGGGCTTCCTTTGTGGCTCAGCTGGTAAAGAATCCACCTGCAATGTGGAGACCTGGGTTTGATCCCTGGGTTGGGAAGATCCCCTGGAGAAGGGAAAGGTTACCCACTCCAGTATTTTGGCCTGGAGAATTCCATGGACTGTATAGTCCATGGGTTTGTAAACAGTTGGACACGACTGAGCGACTCTCACTTCACTGAGCAAATGTACAAGGAGGGTTAGCAAGCCATGAGAAAGCTTTGAGAAAAGCAGAGGATAAAAAGAATAATAGAGCTCATATCAAATGTCCTGAGGACAAGGGCTTCAGAGCCGCCACCATGTTCAGATCTTCACACTATACAGACCCGGAACCTCAGCAACGGTAGTGTAGAGAGCAGCCCACCAGAGCCTCTGACCCTGCTTCATCTCACCTCCTTCCTTCTCTTAATGTTGTGATAGAAAGAACCAAAGTTGGTAGCCAGATTCTGGCTCCATCACCAACAAGTTTTGCAATTCTCCCCAACCTATCTCTTTGAGCTTGAGCTTGTTTACTCAGCAGAAAATGGGAATAATGAGATATCTAAGAGCATTGCTGTAAAGATTATAGATACTATACCTGAAGTGTCCATGTACCACACACAGTAAACAATAGCCTTAGATCTTGTTTCAACAGCAAGCCAGTATTTTATAACCAGTTTACTCTTTAGTCAAAACTAGATGGTGTTCAGGCAAGTTAAATGGTGTCTCCTGTGCAGCAAAAAGGGATGTATGTGTGTGTGTGTTTTAAGAATTATGTCCATTAGGGACAAAACAGTTTGAAATTGAAAGCTACAGTCATTAAAATAAATATAAAACTTGGCTTTCTGGACTGGTTCATTTGCCCAACGGTCAGAATAAGAATTTTTTTGTTTGTTTGTTTGGGAAGGAGGCAAAAATATTGGGACCAAATATTAAAAAATAAGAGAAAAAAACCTTGTTTAACAACCTAGTTAAAGGCCAGTTTCCAGTTCAATGATTTCCATCCTTTAAGTAAAGCACTCTAATTACTTCATGTTGAAGTCATATTTTCTCACATGGTTTGAGGTTTTCAATGTGTTTTATTTGTAATTTGTCACAAAGTTGTATTTTTTCTAGTTATTCTGTGCAGTCGTTAGTGAGCACCTGCCTCTTATCTCTAGAGTTTATGATTCTTTTGGGATAAAAGTCTGTCTAATAAGAGATTTACCTAAAACAAAGACACCAAAAAAACTTGATGCTATCTTGTTCGATAATGCAAGCATCAGTGCACCTTCTGATGGTGACAAGACCATAGTCTTTTGATGGTAACACCAGCATACACGTGTGCAGTGAAAAGCCCTTGAGACCAAAGAACTGAGCCTGATGTGTTTCTTGGTCCCCACCCTGTACCTTCTTGGAGTGTAGTCAGAAGGTGGGTATCTGATCATTAACAGAAATTGCAAGAATGGGGGAACTCAAGCCAGATGGAATATGTAGAGCTTCTGCAAGTGTGTGTGTATGTCTGTGATCTTGCACCTGCTAGGTAAGCAACCATTGCCCCCTGCCAGGTGGAGCCCCTTGTTAACAGACTTCTCCAGCCACAGGGAAGTGCCAGGGTCTCCCTTGCGTTTTTCTCTGGTTTGGTCTCTCTATTCTTGAACACCTGAAATATTAGGGGATTTTTGGCCTGCAAGACACCTGCTACAATTGCACAGATGAGCAGTTATGGGGCGTTTAATGGAAGGTGGGGGATGAAGTGAGTGTACTTTATTTGGGAGCATAGAACTCAATGTTATTTGTGGTTTTCTTTTGTTTAAGCAAGGCCCGAGGAGAAAAGACACAGACCAGCAGACTGAGCCAGACCATTCAGAAATTCCAAATAGAAAGATAAAACCAATCATTTACCAAGTGGTAAAAATATTTATTCATTCTTCAGTTGCTTCCCTAACTTTCTGAATCAGGGCTCACCATTTTGTAACTGCGGCCCAACCATACTTGAGTTGAAACGAATCTCTTGAAAAGGAGGAGGAAGAGGAGGGAGGGGGGAGAGAGGCAGGAGAAGGAGTAGAATTCAGTTTCTTATTTGAAGACTCTAGTGATTGTTGCCAGTTGTCATGGTAACTTTCTTCCTCATGGTCAGTCAGCCAACATCACTTCAAACTTTATTCCAACAAACACAGGTCTCCATCAGTCAAGCACACTGATGCTTTTTTTTCTTGGTATAATGGCTGGCCGGTCGTTTCCATCATTCATAGGCTTCTTCTATTTAAATACTCTCTCCTGAATTTGATCACTATATGAACCATGGCAACCACATCTAGAATTATGTTCCTATTTTTGGAGTGATATGAAACTTTCAAAACACCAGGAATCACTAGAAATAAAGGATCAATTTAGAGCCAGCTCTTAACTCCGTATCAAGAAGATGAAGTCTGATTAAGCAGTTGACTAGTAAGTTGCGGAGAACACAGAAAAGCAGAATCTTTTCTCTCTTCCCAGCTCTGCTCCTGGTTATGTGTTATCTGACCTGTCCTTTTCTGGGGTTCAGTTTGCTAATCAGTAAAATGGGAAGACTGGACTAGCTGGGTTCAAGGGCTTTCGGGAGTTTCAGAATGGGGAGGATGTCAGGAAGGTGCATGTACAGGCTCTTGAAGGCAGCTGAGGAAAAACGGGTTGGAGAGCAGACCTTTGAACATCACACTGGGAGAACACAAGCCAGTGGGCGTAGGTTTTATTTTAACTTGTTGCAAAATTATTGTCCCTATGGTATTATGAACAGATTGTGGATTTTAACATCTCATGTTTTAGGGAGTTTATCTCCTACATATACACTGAAGAGTGAGATAGTAATTTGGATTATAGTAAGTCTCCTACATAAGAAGCTTCAAGCTCAAACTTTCAAAGATGTGAAAGTGTGCAATTGCATATCCAATCGTGTAAGTTAGTTCACATGTCTGGCCTATATTGTTATGGGTGTTCATCCTCTATGAGTGGTTATGCTTTTGTGTACTTTGCAGTACAGTATGTATAGAGTATGGTAGTACAGTGTCTTTATTTCAAGCCTGGGATGTCTGGAAGCAATCATAAAAGTGGCGATTGATAGTCAATTGAGTTAATGGGGTACCTAGGCTAACTTTGTTGGACTTACATGTAAATTAGACTTATGCCTGCTCAGAAGGAAACTCATTCTTATGGAGCAGACTTACTGTATCAAAATATTTAGGAAACACAGCAATGCTCCCTCCATGTGATCTTTCTCCTTTCTTTTGTTCTTTTTTTTTTTTTTTTTAATACCCTCTTCTCAGTATTATGGATTGTAGCCTACCAGATCTCTCTGTCCATGGGATTTTCCAGGCAAGAGCACTGAAGTGGGTTGCCATTTCCTTCTCCAGGGAATCTTCCTGACCCTGGGATCGAACCTGGGCCTCCCGCATTGCAGGCTGACGCTTTACCCTCTGAGCCACCGGGGAAACCCTATGGGAGCGTAGAGGACCCATAAATAATACCCTTGGCCTCCCTGGAGTAGCCTGCTATGCAGAAGGCTACAGACTGCCCTGGGAGAATTTGAATTGGGCCATCTTATAGAGGTTTAATTAGAATCAAGTCCTATTTATTTAAACAGCATTTTATTTCATCCTTGCTTCAGCCTCCTTTTGTTCCTATTCTGTTCTTGCTTGGGGGCTTCTTTTGAAATGGACTAAAAATGTACAAATTCTTCCAGAACATTATGTTTTGGTAGGTAATACACTTTGGACACTTTACTACCTTCAGTCTTCATGTCTTCAGGAAGTCTTTGAATGATATAACTTGCTGGACTAAAGGTTCACATCTTATTCTTATTTTACCCAGCCACCTACCCTGTTTCTCTGAGGCATAAGCTGGATTTTGCAAGCAGTAAATTGTATTCAAACTAGTCTACAACAAAGCCAAATACACCATAGTGACGAAAGTAAAGAGACCCAAGAACTGAAATGTTAAAACCTGGTGATGCTTTTCCAGTCATATCCCACTTATAACCTCAATTTTGTGTCTGTAACATAAGCAGATTGTGGTATATGCTCTGTTGTGGTATATGTCTGTTCCCACCTGGTTGTAACCTGTGGACATGTATTTTTTCAAAAAGATATATTAAGAAAAGCAACATAATTTAAGATTATATGTAGTTTTGATCTCTTTAAATGATCTAGTGTCTCTAGAATGTTTTGAATCTCCAAGGATATTGGCTCAAAGCTAGTTCACTAAGACTAGGGTGTGTGCTGGGAGTGTTCCTAACGCTGACAGGTTATAAAATCTCAGGATGATCATGGAAGATGTTTTTTGGATATTTGGGGCATCCTTACTGCTCTGGTCCTGCCTTCTGACTGGTAGAGAATACATAGTTCCACAGAGGTAAAAGGGAATGTAACAGTCTGCTTGATGAAAGCAGCTTCATCACTCTGAATAGTCAAGGCTTTTCAGTAAAATTTGTGACTGACAACCCCTGAACTGGGCTTCCTATTTTATTGTCTGAAATTAACTTTAGAATCTGCCTTGAGAGCACTTAGATCTGAAAAATAGGGTCTGTGTGCTGTTAGTTAGCCCTTATGGAGGAACTATGGCATGGTTTATACTCATATTCTTTTTTTTTTTTTTTAATGGCTATAGCCTTTTTATGGGCTTCTCTGATAGCCCAGCTGGTAAAGAATCCGCCTACAATGCAGGAGACCCCAGTTTGATTCCTGGGTCAGGAAGATCTGCTGAGAAGGGATGGGTTACTCACTCCAGGATTCTTGGGCTTCCCTTGTGGCTCAGCTGGTAAAGAAAGTGAAAGTGAAGTCACTCGGTCATGTCTGACTCTTTGTGACTCCATGGACTGTAGCCTACCAGGCTTCTCCATCCATGGAATTTTCCAGGCAAGAGTACTGGAATGGGTTGCCATTTCCTTCTCCAGGGGATCTTCCCAATCCAGGGATCGAACCCGGGTCTTCTGCATTGCAGGCAGACACTTTACCCTCTAAGCCACCACGGAAGCCACCTGCAATGCAGGAGACCTGGGTTTGGTCCCTGGGTTGGGAAGATCCCCTGCAGAAGGAAAAGGCTACCCACTCCTGTATTCTGGGCTGGAGAATCCCATGGACTGTATAGTCCATGGGGTTGCAAAGAGTTGGACATGACTGAGCAGTTTTCACATTCACTATAGCCTTTTACAATTTAATGTTATCCATCGATTTTACTTTTGGCTAGCTGGGTCTTCATTGCTGTGTATGGGCTTTCTCTAGCTGCAGCAAGCGGGGGCTACTCTCTAGTTGTGGTGTATGGGCTTCTCTCGTTGTGGGGCACAGTCTCTGGCACACAGACTTCAGTAGTTGTGGCACATGGGCTTAGTTGCTCCATGGCATGTGGAATCTTCCTGGACCAGGGATTAACTCCATGTCTCCTGCATTGGCCGGGGGATTCTTAACCACTGGATGGCCATGGAAGTCCACTCACAGCCTTTAATAGAACGAAGAATACGAGAGCAAGGGCTATGCGATCTTGTCGATAACATGAAGGAAATGGCAACCCACTCCAGTACTCTTGCCTAGAAAATTCCATGGATGGAGGAGCCTGGTGGGCTATAGCCCATGGGGTTGCAAAGAGTAGGACACGACTGAACATGACCCTACTTTTGGTTAAAAAAACAATGTTCAATGATTTTAGACTTTCCTCATGTAAATGTCCTTTTCCTATAATGAATAATGAATATGGGGCAGAGAGAAAGACCAGGGTGAAGCAGGAAAGATGTACGCTGCTCTGTGGCAATGGGCTAAGGAGGAATGGGACCCCCCTCCCAGCCCCAGATCATAGGCTTGGTATTTCACAAACCTGGGCTGAGGGTCCACATTCCACCATTTATTAATTGTGCATGTGGAAAAATGCCTTCTTTTTTTGTTATTTTAATAATTTTATCTCCCAAGGTCTAATCTTTTCCCATCTGTAATTTGAAGACAATACTATCTATCTTGTGAAGATCCTGTGAAAATTAAATAAGATCATGTCAGTCAAACAACAGGCATATGGTATTTTCTCAACACCCAATAGCTGTTTTGTTATTATTTAGCAAGGCATGTCACTGCCCAAGGTGTCAACCTCACCTAAAAATGAGTTGGTTCAGTATTCACTTGGGTCCTTCCTAAATATAAAATAACCGTGGTAGAATTTCCCATACTTGTTTGGCCTCAGAAACTTTAAAAAATGCTAAGGTGCTAATAGAGGTTATAGTCATTCTATAGAACATAAATGTTTGATCAATAATAAACACCAAATCACATTCAAGCATGTTCAGACCTGTGATCGTCATACATATAGAGCCTGTTCATACCCTCGCCATTGCCTCCTGTGGCTTCCTGTGTCACACAGCCAAGGATCTTAGGCAGTTTGTGTTTATTCCCTGAGAGGGCACCTCATTTCTTATAGTATAATATCAATTTTAATTATATACATACATTTAGGTGTTTGCATTCTTAAACAATACACTTTAGTTGGTTTTTAGAAGAAAAGCTTGTTAGCTTCACTTTTTTTTTTTTTTGGTGTGAAGCATCTATTAACAGTGTTCATCAGTAACCGACTGGGCATGCTTCACATTCTCTTTCAGCTAAAGCAGTGTTTTCTAAATTTTTGTGACAGAGACTCACAGCAAGAAATACATTGTGCCTTACAAGTGCACACATGCATACAAATGTGTATAATTGGAATTAAGTATTTCATGATATAATGCCCTCTTCTAAAACTGAACGCTCTATTTTTCCATTCTTTTCTATTCTATTCTATTTCATCCTATTCTATCCCAGTCTGTTCTATATCGTATTTAAAGTACTGCTGATCAAAGCCCTCTACTTCGATTTCCAGACCCACTAATGGGCAGTGCTCTCAGTTTGAAAAAGACCTAGGGATTAATCTAGGAAATGCGTGGTGTTGTGGCTCTCCTTTACCCAGGTGGGGGTACTTCTTATGTTACACTTCAAGCGTGTTTGAAATGGGACCTTCTCTAACCTCTGAAAAGCCTGTGGAGGGGGCATTTCCCAGGAAGGGTCATGTTGCCCAGCTGATGAGAGGCAGCTGCAGACCCCCAGGCTTCGAGAAGGGAGCCTGCAGTTGTCCCGGAGAAAAGTTCTCAAGGGTGGTAAGGGAAAGAGGGTTTGCAGGCTATGCCCGCCCCCTGGGGACCCAGGAGCACTGCTGAGGGATGTCCCTGTCCTCACGCCTCCCAGGATTTCACAGTCTGCCTGTCATATCTGCTCCTCTCCTGGCAGCCAGCCTGCAGCTTTCCTTTGCCCAAACCTTCCACAAGCTCACATCTCAGCTCAAACACCCTCCTCTGTCCATTCCTTTCCCTTCTAAGGTAAAAAACCTGCTGCCCATTGATCTATCATATCTTCCTTCAAACTTTCCTTACCAATCCCCAATATCAGCCTCACCCTCATCCCCAGGAC